TGGAGGATCTTTTGTGGCAGAACTACTCCCGACTGCTCCCCTCGTTTACTAAAGTGTCGGAGCGACATGGCACAGAGTGCCCTGCTTTCGAGGAGAAAGAAAAGAGTTGATTTGATTGAACGTGCAACAGCGATGCTGGTGCACTGTGCGCCTCTGACCATGAAATTACCTGAAAATCAGTATCCACGCCATGTGCGCCATTGATTCATGGAAACGAAGCCCTTGGTCTTAACGCTGAAAGCAAACAACAAAAGTCCGCTGAATCCAAAGCGCCCATTGTTGTCCGGATGCAGCCGCATCGTGTTAATAGCTGTCTGCTGTCTGGTATTCAGTGACGCCGAGTTTGTCGCTGGGCAGGGAGACGGCAAGTGGAAGGCTGCGATTCTCATTTGTTGATTGTTACCGGCAGAGGGTGGACACCTGCCAGGAAAGAGGCGATCATCAGTCTGAGTAGCACAGCAAGATGCTACTGCCAGAACTTCAATAGAGCAACTAAATCTATCCTTCAAGGGCAAATCAAAAAGAGCCTAAGTAAGCAGCAGCATACTGAGGAGTGTGTTCTGGGCTATTAGATGTATTAGGCGGTTTTACTGCATAGACTGCTGTGATATTTTAAATTGAAATCAACCGGGCCTGATAAGCATTGCCTTCCTCTCTGTATAGCTCTATTAAAATGTGTTTTCATCGTGTGTTACGGTGTTTTTGCCGTACTGTGTAACAAGGATCAGGTTCAGATCGTGTTTTCCGTTGCGTGTCCTCGGTTGCATTCATTTCTTCTGAACCGAAGATCAGGTTCACTGCAAAACACAAGTTATCCTTTTCTTGTTAATTATCAAGGTATTTTCTTCCAGCACTTTGGAGGTAACACCTCTGCTGGTATCTTCACTTTTCCCGCTTCAAATAGGCGTCTTATTATGCGGAGTGAAACAGAAAACAGGTGTTGAAATGCTGCATCTGACAGTTAACACGAATCAAACCGAAAGCACCCACAATTATCAGTCTGCACACTGCATATTCAAACCTGCTATACTGTGTATCAGAAGACACTTGTTATCAGACTACTACGTGTTGGCTGCTACCAGAGTATATTGTGTATGTACAGTACAGTGCTATCAATCCTGAAGATTCAACAAAAACAGACATTTTTCAGGGCGTGGCAGAAATCTAGCGAACCAGAATGAGTATGGGAGAGTAAGAGGGACAACTCCAGCCTGCATTAATCCATTAAGGTCTATGACTAGGAGGGGTTTAGGGTGGAGAAGCATGGCAGGAGGAGTTCATGACAATTAGTCAGCTCTCTGCTTTCCGAATTAGCAGGCAGGAAGCACAGCCTGCAGCACACTTGTGGGGTCCAGCCCTTAAAGCTCCGGTTCCACGGCAGTCACACTGTCAGACTGTGACACACTCCATGAACCATAATGTCGTGGTTTGTCGCACTTATGCATGTGCGTGTGCGTGTTTGTGTTTGTGTGGATTTAGTTGTGCATGTGTGTGTGTTTGTGTGTGTGTTTATGGATGTGATCCAGAGTCAATCAGTGAGATGGGGTTTCTCATTGCTGACAAGTACGCCTGGCCCTCCTGGGTTAAAGCCACAAAAGCTTTTTAACTTTCAAAACCTTACAAGAGGAAAGAAATATCATTTGCCTCCTCAAAAAGTGTTTAGCATCCGTCATCATCTAAAAGGCCAAATAATGCATCCAATCAACGCTTTGCACTTTTTTTGTGCAAAGTCCGTAGTCTTTTTTAGACATTACCCTGAATTACTTCTTTGGCATTTTTACATTTATTCAGTACTGTATTGCATTCTATTCACAGACAGACATAAACTCTAAGTACGGAACGGCCAAATCTACAAGATAATAAGCTACACTGCAATATCTCTAACATCCAGACTGTAAAGCATCTCAGCATGGATGCCCTTGAAAGACTATCTCAACCACTCCCTCCATCTGTCCAAACACAATATTATATTGCACGGTGTGTACCCTTAACTAGGACATGGCAGCAACACAGCTCCATCTTTGGTATTCGTCTGTGTATCTTAAGTACACACACACAACACAACACACTCCAATGAGCAGAATGTGTTTATAGCTAATTTACTGAGTAGGGGCAGTCACTTTCATTGCTTTATAAAATCATAGTCCTGTAGAGCAATTACGTGAAACGACAAGCCGAGCAAGTCAACTGTGAGAGACTATTTTCACTTTCAAAACACATTCTCATTTAGAGAAAAGGTTATTTGGATCATATTACAGAGGGAGAAAACAACCTCCAAACACTGTCCTTTATGAAATAAGAAAATGATCACCCTCTATTTTCACCCCACATCTTACTGCCTCTAAACATCAACAGTTAAAAGTTGCCTGCACATAAAGACAGAGATGTGATTTGTGATTCGGTCATTGCCAAGGATCTGACTCTCTTCTTTACTGTAGGGAATTAAAAAGATATAAAATATCAAAAACGTGGTTGGGAGGAGAATATTAGAGGCAGTGAGGTGGAAGATTTTCTTTTTGCCCCTGTCCAACCCAAAGCTTTCATTAAATTCAAAAGGTCAGTTAAAAGACAGACAGGAAACTGTGGGTTTGTTGCCTGTACTATTCAGCTGCAAATGTTGCTTCTTTCTGCTCTTTGGTGGAAAAGATACGGAGGCACATAACAAAGGAAAACATACAAAGGTGCACTTCTATTTTGATCCATTTTCTTTTGTGTTTCATTCAACATTACTCTTCCTCTGTTGTCTCATATACAGTATGATCAGTACAAATCTCCAGTCTGCAAGTCCCAGCATATTCTATTCTATCTAAAACAACAGCCAGTTTGTTAATCTTCCCCTCTATGTGTGTGTGCGTACCTCAGTACTGCTCAGGCTTAATTGAAGGCGTAGTGAGGATTGTCATTAGTATGTCAGGCACATGGTTCCGCTAGGCTAGCTAGCTCGCTGTAGCTAACGAGACAGGTGGAGAGGTCAAGGGTGAAGTGGAGCGACTGGGGAGCTTTAGTTCCCCTCTCCCTTTTTGTCTGCCAGAACTGGCCTTATCATTCCTCACAGCTCGTCTTCTTCCTGTTTTTCCTCTCCTAACATTATTCTTTCAGTGTGCTCATTTGCAAGCTAATTTGCGTAGCTACTCAAGTGCGTGGTTGAATTTCTCCCTTCCTATTTGTATGACTACACATACTGTAAATGTAATTGCGGAGTACATATGTGGTACCTGCTCCATAGTTTATCATACACTGTCCACATAGTGGCTTTACAGTGGACTGTGTGTGCACAGCGGGGTCTTTAGTGCAGGGGTTCTCAAAGTGGGGTCCGGGGACCCCAAGGGGTCTGTGGCACTCTCTGTCAGGGGATTCGTGAAATAATTTTCTATAAATAATACATTTGTGCTGTATCATTAAAAAGTGAATAGCTACAGATGGGGGCCATAAAACAAGCTCATTGTATTCATTACTCCCACCCACGTTAGCTTTGGGCTAATAGAAACTCAGATTTGATTGTGACATGCAATAATTTTATTATTTTTAAGTTGAGGCACTTACTGAAAGTGAGTTTTAGACTGGTAAATTTCAAAATCTGGATTTATTAGGACTATGGCCAGTCTTTCCTTTTCTGAAAGCTTTTAAGATCATTTACTTGAAAAGTAGGCTATAAAATGCTTTCCATTTGAGTCCAAATGCAATTTCATATATATATTCATTAGCATTCAATAACACGGCAAAATGTCCCTGCTTTGGGACCAATCAATTATTATCTTGAGATGATTCAAACTGAAATGGGTTTCTGTTTATTACTATGAAACAGTTCTTAAGAATTTAGGAAAATAAAATTAGAATACAGATAGTTCCACTAACAACAGTACAAATGGCAGTGAAGAATATGCTTAATCGGTGTAACGATATTGTGTAAAACCTTTAAGTGACACATTATAATCACTAATTGCTAATGGACCATCTAAATAAAGCGTGATCCTGAGTGGGGACAGGTCTTGAGGTGGTTGGGGCAGAGAAATCTCTTTGGGCTTAATGGCTGTCCACTTACATTAACTCCTGTCAGGCTTCACACCACACAGCTGAATGCTAATTGAAACAAACCAGCATGTGAATAAGCATTGGTTCACTGACTGCCTCTTATTGCTATGTTGAACACAAAGGAAAGAGTATGACCATGTTTTGGGAAAGGGATTATGTTTTGATCTCTTGTCTGGCAACTTGAAGAAATTGCCAGTGAAAAAGCAATTTGTTACAAAGTCAGTTACATATGGTCACATGTTTATATACAGCATAAGGTGCCTGAATGTGATTTGTGAGACAGTGTGTGTGTATTGCGTGTATGTGCGCACATTAATATATGCTGATGTGTGCTTATCGAGTATGGTGTCGGCCAACATGTTCCAGTAATTGCATTCTGAGTGCATGCATGTGTGTGGGTAAACGTATGCCTGCCAGGTAACTGTTAAAGGAAGCAAGAGCTCCCTCTTCTTGTGTGCCTGCGATAAGGGCCAGCAGGAAAAAATCAACCTGTGGCAGGTTGGGCATAAAGAAGCTTTTTTATATAT